ACAAACCACCCATACATCCAGAAACTAAATGCAAGGTGAATTTTAAATTATTACTCTAAGTAGCTTTACATTCACATGTCATTTTAGCTATAGAGAAATCAGAATTCAAGTCTCAAGCATAGTGATGGAGATTAATATCGCTTTCTCCAACAGCCTTTATTATCTTATATAAATAGATGGAATCGGTCTGTGTATCCTAAGACATTAGCAAACAAAGAAATCGATTGGTCTCAAGGATCTTGTGATGGAGATTGATATTGCAGTAGTTATTCAGTGAATCTAGCAAAGATTTTAGTGGCCAAATATTATTCTCTGGCAATCGATTTGTTTCATAAAGACTAAGCACTACGAAAGGTGTCTTGCATTCTAGCCCAACAATCACTATAAAGGTTTCCCCTATATGAAGCACTTGTGCAACCCCAGGAAAGCATGAGACAACTTTTCCATCATGATGTTTCAGCCTCTTTAGCTTTACTCATTGAGTTCTGTCAGATTAAAGGATAATCACAAAATGTTTCTTTTCACGGCAAAAAAATCATAAAACAAAAGAACAATTTCTATATCTACCATCTAAAAATTTCAAAATAAAAAATTAGACAATAAAAGATTATAGAAGAGAAAAAAGACTTAAAGGACTCATTCCTAGAAAAGAAAAAAAAAGATGCATCTTTGAAATAACTAAAGAAAAACAAAAAGTCATTTCATCAAGAGGACAACAAAACTTCAATACTCTCCAACGATCAACCAAATATTGATCCAATATGCTATAAACAGTTAGATATGTATTAAATATGTATCATAATGTGTCGCTTTTTTGTGCTATTGACCTTTTCAATTTGCTTTTTTTGGTAGTAATATTTAACCATGTCGAGTGAAAATATAGTGGAGGTACCGAAAGGAATTCTAGTTATATATGTTTTAGTAATTAAAAGTTACTTTGATATTATATTTTTGATCACATTTTTTCCTTAATTAGAGCAAATTCAAATCCAAATGTTAGTTCTTATGATGTTTTTTTCTTTGACTAAACAACGTGAATGAGAATGTTAGATGGATGTTTGGTAGAACTTGAAAGAATAAATTGAAAAATTATTATATTAGATATGGCGATAGTAGCATCTACTGAAATTAGATATATTTAACTGGTTGTAGCGCTTACAACTAGGGGTAGAGATGTATAAACAAGTGGAGTAGATAAAAATTACTTAGAATGATTAGGAAGGATACCAGGACAGATCAAATGTAGCATATATGCTAAAAGAAAGCATGAAATAAAGTTTACACTCTGTGAATCTATCAATAGGAATGGTTTGAAGTAATGATTTTTAAAGTGGACCATTCAAGTAATTACTATAAAAATATTAACGATATAAATATTAAAGAACTCCGAGCATTATTATATTTGTTATGCATCATCAGCTTTATGTGAGCAAGATATACCTGTAGTGACGAAAACCGAAGAAGGCTAGAGAAAAACCGAAGAAGGTTGAGGAGTGAAGCCCGAAGAACCACTTCGAGAAAGAACCGGATCCGTAGATGGTTCCCCGCTGCTGGACTCCGGCGATGGATTCTCTGCTGTTGAATCGGGCGTGGAACAGCTGTCACGAGAGCGAGAGACGAAGCGTTGTTAGATCCGACGTCGAATGACAAGGTTAAGGGAGCGAGCGGCGAAGCCCTGCTGGATCCGACGCCGAACAGCTTGGTGACGGGAACGAGAGGCGAAGCTCTGCTGGATCCGGCTTCGAACGGAGGTTAGGGGAGCGAGAGGCGAAGCGGTCGGGTCACGGAAATGGGATCGAGGGGTAATGCGTAAATCTGAATCGCACCCACGATCCGCGTTTTTTATAAATTTCAAAACGCATTTTCAAATAATCCCTCAATAAGTGGGAACCAAACAGTGAGACGACATTTTCAAAACGCCGTCCGCACTTATAAGCTGTCCCAAACGGGCCCTTAATGATAAAATCTTTTAAATTTTAGCTTTAAAAGCTTTATTCTAATAAAATTTAGGATTAAAATTTTACAAGATTTAAAATCAACAATTTTCTTTTTCCCACTTTATTTTCCTGCATGACCTTATATCAATTTTAAAATGATCTTAAGTGCATGAGCATATGTCCTTGCATATTAATAGGCCTCCATGCTTGATTGTCTTAAGTTATTGCATACATACTATCTTGAGGGAAGTACTCTGACTTCACAACCTGACTAGCCCAACATATGTTCCTTAAGTGGTTGTCAGGTGCGCTGTAGGATGTTAGAGGCTTTTCTCATCCAAACAGGATTTCAAGCTTATTGTGGGGTGGCTTAGCTTTGTAGTTGAGTCGTCCATCCCTTCTTTTTTGTGTGTAAGTTTCCTCTCCATACCCTTGGCAAGTATAATCCCTACTCTACTTATTTAGTTTAGATAGAGTCAAACAACTTAGTCATTTCTTTGTTCTAACTTTAGGTCTATTAAATCACTTCAAACTATGGAGAACATGGGTTCTTGACGTTGCATTTTTCAGTCGGGTTAACTCGACTACCTTCACGGCTTAGTAGATATGAGATCCCAATAGTCTAGGAGGACCATGGACAACCTAGACTGGGTTGTCTACCTTTCTATGTTTTTTCACCAATCTACCTATTGATTTACCCATTTTTGGGCACATTCTTTTCCGTTAGCAAGTTCTAGCGGGCGCATTCGATTAACTCTCTCGGTCCTGTTGCAACTATCTGTTTGGTTGCGATGATTAACCCTCTGCCTGGTGGCTTAGTTTTGCTCTTTGGCTGAATGTTTCCCTTATAAAGACCACCAAAAAGCTCTTTGGCTATCTATTTTCGGGATATATTGAGCAGACGCAATATCTTTTTTCATGGGTTTTCCTAGATATTCTTCAAAATGTAATTGACCACGGAGATGCTTTGTCATGGGAGATCTCTTTAAACCCATTACAAAATAAATTTAGTTTTGTATTCTAATTTGATTACGAAGGTTTTTTTTTATAGGATATTTCTCATATATTCTCTTGAATTTAGTATGATCTGATTTCTTTTTTTTAACCGCTCTTCTCCAGTTTATTTTGCAAGAATTTTTCTATATAAATATTTTTGTAGTTATTATTTTTTTATTCTTGTTAGTTTTTATCCATTTTTGGTTTTTCTTTTTTTTTTGCTTTTTCAAGCAAGGGTGAATTAGAAAGAGAGATTTGAAGAGGATGAGCGCTGAGAAGTTCGTTCCAGTCAGATCACGAAAGAGGCGCAAATAGAGTTTTACAAAAGAAATGAACTAAGCTAATCATACCAAGCATAGGGTGCTTGTTTAGGTCTGATTTTATAAATAATCAAGATGTGTTAAACTTTAAAGCCAAAGTTTTTGCTCAAAATGCACTTCTTCCACAGTTATACCATTCAAGAAATCACTATAATATCCATTTGATATAATAAAACCTTTAAAGCATGAAAATGCTAATAATAAATGGATGGCTTCTAGTTGAACTTTAGGGGTAACGTTTTCTTCAAATTCTAATCCTACTAGTTGGTGTATCTTTTGGTCACTAATCTAGCTTTATTCTTTATAACTATTCTAAATCCATTTGACTTATTTTTAAATACCTTTTTTTTGTTACTTAAAAAAAAATTATTTTGTTCCAACTATAATTTGTTTTGGAGGTCTAAGCACTAACTCCCAAATATTATTTTTGGTTTGGTGATATAATTCATCTTTCATAGTACATTATTCCTTGTGAATTTATTTAATTCAACTTGCATAGTACTAATCCATAATTCATTGCTTAAGGCCTTATCTATATTAGCAGAGGTTCAATTATTGATAAGAATGCAGTATTACCATTTAAAGCTCTATAGCATTTTTAGTTTGGATTTCATCTTGTCATCAACTGAGTGAGTTAAAGTGTAGAGTTTCTTAAGATAACTCTCTAAAGGATAAAATCTTCTGGTTTTCTTATCTTTAATATTCAACTAATTTTGTTTTAATTAAAAATACTGCTTTCTTATCTTTAATATTCAAATAATTTTGTTTTAATTAAATAGATGGCCGCGTTATTATAATCCTTACCATTATTGTTTGGAGATTGTTGGCATTGTCTAGTTATTGCTAGTGCTGTAATGAACCAGTGCACGGAATGAACAACTCGAATCGGCTTGATTAATATCACTCATGATTGTTCAAATTAGTAAATAAATAAGTTTGAACACTTTTTTTGAACTTAAAAGTTTAAATGAATCAAATTTGAACATAGTCAAACGCGTTTATTGACGTTCACGAACAAACTCGTTTGTTGTTAAACAAATAGCTTCTTAAATATTCTATAAACTTATATGATATATTATTTAAATAAAATTTAATTATTTAAAACTTATTTAATTATATATTTGATAGCAATATGTTATAATTTAATATCAATATGCATATAAATTTAAAGCAATTTGTTCTTATCTTTTTATTTCAATGACCTCGGTTTTTAGCACTTATTTATTTTATTGCAGGACTACTTACTTGCAACTCATATTATTTAATTTACTTGGTAATACCTAGTTAGATGACAATTTAAAATTTATTCAACTGCTTATTTATTTAGATTTGTAAAATCTTTTCTTGATAATTTTGTATAAAAGCAGGTGCTCATATGAATTTTTAGCATTTTTAATAGCTTTTAATATTTACTAGCTTTATATGAAAAATTAATTACAAATTGAGTTTTAAATTTTATGTGAAAAATTAAGCACTCATTCAAATTTTTTGCTTGTTTAATTAATATTCACAAGTTATGTACAAATCAAATATAATCAAACCAATTATGAATATTTGTGTGAATGCTCGGTTCAAGTTTGAATTGAACATGAACAACTTCTGATTCGAACAAGCCAAGTCCAATCCATGGCAGACTTTACTCAACCCTGCTTGATAACATCGCTAGTTCTGGCACATGGCTGCCTGCTTTGGAACTTAGGTTTTGTAGTCCTTCAGTTACACTACTGATGTTTACCTTTTTTTCCAGTATGCAGAAAAAGCATTTGTTCGAAACCCCAGAAATGATCAGTATCATCTACTCGCCGCACAGCAGATATGGGAGAGTGTTTCTATGAATGACAAGAAAGCAGTTTACCAACATATAATCGCTTCAAACGCCGATGTGAATGCTGTCTATGAACAAACGTCTCTCAGCAATTCATTGACTCTCGCAAAAGCTTTACTTCTGCAAGATCAAATGAGTCCGATCTTCGATCGAAGTTCTAGCTGTAATGTCGGCGAGTCAGAGCACTGGGTTTCTGCCTTGAATTCGTTCAGTTCGCTGGGTGGAATTGAAAATCAAAGCGAAGCAGATGAGAGCAACGAAGGTTTCTCGCTCCTTCACCTCGCTTGTCAGACTGCGGACATCGGAATGATTGAACTACTGTTGCAATATGGGGCTAATGTGAATGCTGTGGATCTGAAGATGATGTCGCCGCTTCATCATTGCATTCTGAGAGGTCGGCATGCCTTCACCAAACTGTTGATTTCGAGGTGATTTTCTAGTTCTTTTGCTCTCTCTTTGAACTTCTGGTGGTCTATTAGTTTCATTGATAAGGTTTTGGAAGATTTACATACATACTACTCGATTCTTTTGCATTTACATTTCTAATGCCTAAACTTCAATTGTTACATACACGCTACCTTCCTTATGCATGACACGGTCTCTTATTAAAAGTTTAAATAGTCGTATTTTTGATGTGATATGAAAAATTTGTATCGTATAAATGTAATAATTAACTTATAGGTATTACATATGTAAATATGTAAGAATCGGGTGGTATGTAAATGTCATAAAGTTTTGTATACAGTTGATAATTAATTGTAATTCTCTTGTGTGATGTTGATCATATCTATGCTTGATATGATCACATGGCTGATGATTCATCATTATGTAGTAATTCTGATATAAAAATATATATACATGGTGCATTTATATATATACCACACAATTCTTATGTATTTGCATATCAAACACCTAAACATTCATATGTACGTGCATACCACTTAAATCTTTAACATCACATCAAAATTATCATCATCACTTTTTAAAAGTGAGATGCACCTTTTTATGCATAAGTTTTTGACACCGAGATGACATAAATGTAAATATTAAACTTTGGGTGCAGATAATGTAAGGTGTATATAATATAAATACATAGGAATTGTGTGCACTCATTTCAAACTAGATCCAAGAGCTTTGATACCTATTTTGTTTAAAAAAAGAAGGATTGATATACATCCCATTCTATTCCTATCCATCCACATATCTGACACCAAAACTTCAACTTTTACATATATGCCGCTTTACCTATGCATGAAATGGTGTTTTACACTTTTTAAATTTCAAAATAGCGATATTTTTTAATGTGATATAAAGGATTTGATAAATGTAACAATTAATATTTGGGTTTTATATATGTAACTACATAAGAATTGGGTGTTATGCATGTAAATGACCCCCTTCAAAAAATTGATCAAGATATCCTCATACAAATTTTTTTTCTGGAAGATTTACACCATATAACTTTTTTCTTATATATTTACATATTTAACTCCTAAACTTCAACTTTTACATATATACCACCGTACCTATGCATGAAAAGCTATATTTCACTTTTTAAAAGATAAAATGAAATGACAGTACATTTGATGTGATATGAAAGATTTGTGTAATATAGATGTAAAAGGTAAAGTTTAGGGATATAAATGTAATAACTAAATTATAAATGCCTCAATTTTCTTCCCTACGGCCAGTTGTTTCTGCTGAGGAGCTAAACCTAATTGATCTCCATCTCTGCCTGCAGGGGAGCTGATCCAAACACCACTGACAGTGTTGGTAAGACCCCTCTACAGTATGCAGTGGAGTCTGGAAACATTGATGATGAGGATGCTCTTGCTCTACTGGAAGATTCAAATAGATAATAATGGCTTCCATCCAATTCCCAGATTTCTCCCTTATATTATCAGAAAAGATTGCTACCTATGTTGCAAATCAGTCCCAGCTTTAATTTTAATTACAGATTTTCGAGCTCTACTACGGCCCGACGTTGAGTCGAATTATCAAAATACCTTGGGAGAAGGTGATTATGGTTTTTTTAGAAATGATGGTACATTTGATGTGACACGAAAGATTTGTGTGATACAGATGTAAAAGGTAAAGTTTAGGGGTATAAATGTAATAACTAAATTATAAATGCCTCAATTTTCTTCCCTACGGCCAGTTGTTTCTGCTGAGGAGCTAAACCTAATTGATCTCCATCTCTGCCTGCAGGGGAGCTGATCCAAACACCACTGACAGTGTTGGTAAGACCCCTCTACAGTATGCAGTGGAGTCTGGAAACATTGATGATGAGGATGCTCTTGCTCTACTGGAAGATTCAAATAGATAATAATGGCTTCCATCCAATTCCCAGATTTCTCCCTTATATTATCAGAAAAGATTGCTACCTATGTTGCAAATCAGTCCCAGCTTTAATTTTAATTACAGATTTTCGAGCTCTACTACGGCCCGACGTTGAGTCGAATTATCAAAATACCTTGGGAGAAGGTGATTATGGTCTTTTTATCCTTTTTTTTATTATTTTTTATTTGTTGAGGACAGTTTATGTTTGGTTTGCAGCTTTCTGCATTGTGTGAATTGATGCATGTTATCTCTTCCCTATTTTGATTGAGTTGGTTTAATGCCCTGCCTTTGATTGCTAGACTTCTTGTAAAAAAAGGTTTTTTGTATATAATTTTGAATTTATTTGCAATGCATTAGTTTGAGGAATTCTACTGAAACAAAATTTTGCTACCTGATTGTTGTGTTCTTGGGGGATTTAGATGCATCTCATACAATTCTTGTGTGTTTGTTGCTACAGAACTTTTTTTATATATCTATATATTTAGATACATACCTTGTAATATGTAAATAAAGACGAATTATATGGACTTTATGTAAATTTTCTTTTTTTGATTTATTATTATTATTATTATTATTATTATTATTTTATTGTGCTGAATGATAAGGGTTGCCACAATTACATCTCAATTCAATTTGGGGTGCGTCAAGCTAGCTCATGAGTTAGCTTGGGCTCGGTTAAACAAGTGACTCGTGAGTTGAGCTCGATGAGTTAACACGTTAGTTTCGACTCGACTCGCAAGCTCATGAGCTGACTTATTTGAATAAGTATTATTATAAAATACATTCAAAATATACTTAGATTTTAAGATCTAAGATTCAAATAAATATGTATTTAATATTTTATATCAAATTAGTATTATTTATTTATATCCTAATTTTTTTTTTGGTCATTTTATTGTAATACTAATTTAATTAATATTATTTTCTCTTTTAAACATTAAACTAGCCAGCTCACAAACTCGTAGGCTTAAGTTCGAGCTTGAACTTGAGAGCTCAATTAATTAATAAAACTCGAGTTAAGGCTGAGAGTTAACTCATCCATCCTCATTCTTTGGGGCTAATTCTCAACAATTTCTACACTTCAAACTCATCTAGATGAAGTAGAGATTGTCTCATTGATGAAAATAAATTTTTTGTTTTTTTCTTCATGGCCCAAGCTACTAACAACTGGAAAATTTGTGTTCAACATTTGGAAATTTGTTTTTTTCTTCATGGCCCAAGCTACTAACAACTTTTGGAAATTTGTGTTCAACATTAAAGTTTAATTCTGGGTTAGCAACTGCAAGTTTCATTGACAAGAATTGTAGTTAAGGATGAATTTTATTGTTTAAATCTTAGTAAAAAAATAAAGATAAAATGAAGAATTTGAGAGACATAACTCTATTATATATATATATATATATATATATATATATATACGTACACTAGAAGACTTCATACTTACCATTCAATTCATATATTTTTAAATTGAATGCACAATATTCCAATTCAACAAAAATCAAATAGAGAAAGTAAAGCATCATTTAAAAATCACATCACATGGGAAAATACTACTTAACAAAGAAAGAAGAGAGATATATGAGACATTTCCATTTAACCCGACCAACAAATAACCATTTGCTCTAACAAAAATATGAACTAACAATAAGGTGGACTATGGAAATACATATGCTTCTCTATATACCAAAAAAAACTTAGTTTATTGCAAAAAAAATAAAAAATAAGTTAGAAAAAGAACATTTTAGAAAAAAATGATTTCCACCAATGTATTCCCTCATTCATCGTCCTCTAAGCATTCCCTCCTAAATGTATGTTTTGGTCGAAATCCACTTGTATAACTAGTTTGTTTGAACACATGATTTAACTTAAAAATTTATCCTAGTTGTGAGCTATCTTGGCTCAATGAATTTTTATAAGTTGTTTTATGATGCTTAGAAAGTCCACGTTCACCGCACTTGTGGACACTTTTGAGCTTCTTGACATTATTTTCTAATAAATTTTTTATTCTTTTCTCTTTGGGTCTTCTGCCATATGTCATAATCAATCACATACCACTACCTTTTACCTGGAATGATTGATATATGGCTTTCATAAGCCATTTTATACCGGTATGAGAAAATCAAGTATTACTAATAAACTATGTTAAATAAAAAAAATAATACTATGGTCTTTTATCGACCTATTAACATAATAACACTCATGAACATATGTGTCATGGAGGACGCTTTTTATATCTGATGAACGCAAAAAAATGTGAATGCATGGTAAATCGGTAAATTGTCACACTCAACGGCTACATACTTTAGTATATATGTTAACTTCATGTCTCTTATTTTGACATGCAACCTCTATTGTATATATTGTTGGTTGTCTCACAGTTAGTTGTTTTTTTCTAGTTGTACCCTCTCTCAAATATTTCTCATACGGTACTAACTCATCTTTCAAATTATTTGATTTCATTTTTTTATGTGCTCTTTTCTCCATAGCATATCTCATATCATGTCAATCAAATCCACTACAGGCTTACGCCTAGCTTCTCTAATCCACACATTAGAGAAGCATGTAAATTCAAAGCTTTTGGACTACTTGTATGGCAAACCAATCAAGTAGGAGTACACTTGCGGGCATGTAAATTCAAGCTTAATATATGTGTTAGTTGCTACCCATATCAAACTCTACATCGTATTAGTGTTGCTATAGTGAAATAATTTTCTCATATTTTTCCATAGTAGTCGCATACAAACCCGATGTTCAGCATCTCGAAAACACAATCTTGATTGTTTCTCCAAGGCCCTTCTCCATATCATATATAATTGCAAGAGGATATTACTCAAACCAAATGGATATAACTAATTGTTCTAAAGAACAGTGCCGAGTTGTCTTTGACTATGTTTACAAATTGCGAATGCTATTATATAGAGCTCATTATTCTCATCCAATGAAATAACTGATAATAACACACAAATATACTTCAACTTTAAATGACATGCATTAAGCCCAATTAAATTTTTGCACCCTGCTAGAAATCTATCAATGCAAGCCTTGAAACTCACATAAAATCTTTCAAGAGATGAGTCTTCCTTATTGGAAACATATGTAATACGTGATCCGAGATTTTTATTTATAAGAGGTATCTTCTACAGTTCAAAAAATAATCTCTTGTGTTTGCTTTCTCGACATCCACAACTTCATGTAAGGTAATGATAACTTATATAAGCTTTTGAAAGAGTTGTTAAGCTATTTTGGAGGTATCTCAGAATTTCTCTTCACTATTTCTCCAATTTCTTCAGCTACCCAAGATGATGTTGTTTGTTTATTTCCTTCTCATTTACACAAGGACACAAATGTTTTAGTTCAAATTTTCTAACCTCAAATGATTTTCCATTAGTAATAGTGCAGCTCTAGCTCTCCAATGACACCCTAGATGTACACAAACAATAGAGACACGAGATATGATGTTAGCCTGGATCTTTATCCCATAAATATTTTTTATTGCATTGGATCGAATTGCTTGTTTGAAACTTTGTAAATCACAAAAGCATACACCCACTTTAACTCAATATCACGTTCGACAAATTATTTTTATCAATGTCCTCATGAAATGTAGAGTCAGATTTTGGAAGGCTACTACCTATTGTGTTAGTAATGACACACACCTCTTCGACTTATAGAAACACAATATGTTCTTTATTATGTTGGGTAGTTACCACCACCTTCACTCTACTACATTCATTTAACTGAGCAACCATTTCCATAACAAAAAAGTCACTAGTTATATATATATATATATATATATGTTG